GTAGTTCTAATGAGTTTGAACAAGTAGAGGGTGTAGAAAATGTCCGAGTCACCAACACTCGAAATGGGGCCTATTTTAGGTTCTTGGTCAAGTGGAAAAGGAAACCATCAATTGAGAACTCTTGGATTAATGAAGAGGAGTTTATGAAGCTAGATGGAAATGTGCAAGGCTGCTAAAATTGTTATTTACATGCGGTTGAGCTCTTTTTAACCCGACGGGAATGATGAGGCAAGAGAAAAAAGAAAAAAGTGTATGTATCCTGGTTGGCATGTTTTTCTTGCAGTAGGATCCCAAATTGTTGTTTTTGGGTAGCTTTGTTGATAGTTTGGGACCAGGGGTATTTTCGTCATTTTATAAGTCAGATTTTTGGTCAGGGGCAGTTGGGTGCATTTCTATTGGGTTTTGGTCTCTTGGGTCTTTTTGTAACAAAACTTATCTTTTAGGTGTTCATCTGAAGTTAGTTTTGTTCCTAAGGAGTTGTTGGTGAGAGGGAAACATTCTAGGGGGCTTATGTGTAAATATTTTAACTACCTTGTCCAGCAAGCCAGTGAGTCTTATAAAAGAGAAGGGGGCTGTTTTTGTAGGGATCTTTTTTGGTTCTTTCTCTCTTGTTTGAACTGTAGCTCAGCCCCACTAGGGTTTTCAAGCATTGGGAGCTTGGGTTTTGAGGAGTCAACCCATCTTGGCACCTTTCAATCCCTCCATCGCTGCATGTCCGTGCGGGAGGCCAGTTTGCTGCCATTGTTACTGTAGCGGAACTGTTCCAGGAGGATTTTACTTCGGGTTTAGGTCTGAAATCCCTAAAAGTCCAACTTATTTTGTTGTTTTCAGCTTGTTTTTTCTTGTGCTTATTGCTGTATACTTGGAGGTACTGCATGTAACTTTTTTTTTGTCCACTTCATAAGCCCTACTAAACTAGAGGAACAAGATGTTATAACCCAGGCCCTACACAGAACTAGTCAAAATTACAAAAATACCCATACGTCCAAGTATACAAAACTATAGAAAATTTAAGAAAATTCCATATTTCATTCTTCAGCTCCTACATTATTCTCCCCTGGTTTAAAAAAACTCGTCCTCGAGTTTTGAACAACTTGAGGGTGAAAAGTTGATGTACCTCAATGACAAAAGGAGTAGTAATTCCCATAGCTACTCCAACATACTTAAACTGTAGAGTAGATGTCGCATAGCTATAAATGAATCTTGAAAGCAATGTATGTCTGAAATGCTGCCTTCTATAACCTTCATTGTTAGATAATCAATACCATTAGCTTCTTGACCACTTACATCACCAATCGACTTATCTTGTGATGAATCTTCTCCTTGCTTATCACTATGAACTTTCATATCCAAAATCTCAATTGAAGAATTTGGAACTTTTCTTTCAATCTTAGGTTGAAAAATCTCCATCTCTATAGTCTAAGTATACAAAACTATAGAAAATTTAAGAAAATTCCATATTTCATTCTTTAGCTCCTACATTATTCTCCCCTGGTTTAAAAAAGCTCGTCCTCGAGTTTTGAACAACTTGAGGGTGAAAAGTTGATGTACCTCAATGACAAAAGGAGTAGTAAATTCCCATAGCTACTCCAACATACTTAGACTGTAGAGTAGATGTCGCATATCTATAAATGAATCTTGAAAGCAATGTATGTTTGAAATGCTGCCTTCTATAACCTTTATTGTTAAATAATCAATACCATTAGCTTCTTGACCACTTACATCACCAATCGACTTATCTTGTGATGAATCTTCTCTTTGCTTATCACTATGAACTTTCATATCCAAAATCTCAATTGTAGAATTTGGAACTTTTCTTTCAATCTTTGGTTGAAAATTCTCCATCTCTATGTGTTCATCTCCCCTTGGTTCTTCAACAAACTCTTGAACTTTTGCCATTATTGATGTTGGTGGAACTTGTACTATGTCAACTTGTAATTCTTGAATTGATTCTAGTTGAACTCGTAAGGTAAAGTCAGAACTTACTTCCTTACTAACATCTACAACAACCAATACAGAAAATTTCTCACTCTTCGTAAGATTTCAGTTTTATCCAATGTTTTCCAAACACGGTTGACGCGGATGGTTGGAGGCAACCGGTTCTCTCTCTTCTTGATCATTAACCTCAAGTTGACCATAGGTTTTGGAAGTTCCTTCTTCAACAATTCTAATATTTTCTTGGGTTGCACCCTTTTGATCTTCAATGTTTACAACTTCTTTAGGTTGAAATTCTTCATTCACAACTTTAGCTCTAAGATGGGCACCGACATGCAAGAAATCATCTTCTTTATCTTCAACTTTGTACTTTCTTCTCATTGGCTCCAAATTCTTTGTTGTAATCAGCTGCTTCTTCTCTATCTTAAGGTCCAAATCAAAGGCATGATCTAAGTCATAAATCTGAATTGTAGACAATTCATTTTTGATATCATCCCTTAGTCCATTCATGAAACAAACTAATTTGTGCCTTTCACTTTCTGTAATGTCACATCTAATATATTATTCATCAAACTTGTGCATATATTGAACTACATATAGCATACATTGCTTGAGATTAGTCAACTCCACATATAGATCATCATGGAAGTATTGTGGAATGTACATTTCTTGCAAATACATCTTCATTTATGCCCATGTGGTAATAGGATATTCACCTCTATTTTCTAGTTGTTGCTCAAGAGTTCTCCACTATACTTTAGCAATAGCTGTGAACTTCCTACGTGCAAATCTAAATCTTTGTTTTTTAGACATATCATGCCAATCAAAATATTATTCTATTATAGCAATCCAATTATAGAATGCTTGTCTGTCTTTATCTCCCTTGAAATTAGGCACTTCCCTTTCTCTTCTAACATTCTTGATAACCTTACTCCTATAGCCAACGTTATTAATTTCTTCCACCAATTTCTCAAGTAAATCAACCATAAACCCATCATATGGTTCAAAAATCCTATCATCATTGATTCTAGGCCCATAGAATCGATCACTTTGTGAGAACATGGTGACTAAACATTAGCTCTGATACCAAAACTTATGCATTAGGGCTGGAACAAACTAACATAAGACAGAAAGAGAGAGTAGAAAGGGTAGAGAAAGAGAAAAGAGAGAAATCTCAAGGAATCACTCCTAGGGGTCTTAGAATCTATTGATAAAAGAGGTCCTAGTATCACTCCATTCAGTAAGAGAGCTCTTAAGAAATATTCATTTATTCATTATTCATTCATTAGCTTCAAAAGGAAGAGAATACATCTATTTATGTAGAGCGACTTGTGGCCCGAAATACTGTTCATCATAATCACAAAAATGCCACTCCTTTGTGCATCAAGAAACACAACTTTCTATCTATTAATGCAAATAAACTGAAAATTGAAAGATAAGCCCTACTAAACTAGAGGAACAAGATGTTAGAGTGCAGGCCCACAGAGAACTAGTTAAAATTACGAAAATACCCATACTGTCCAAGTATACAAAACTGTAGAAAATTTAAGAAAATTCCAAATTTCATTCTTCAGCTCCTGCATTACCCACCTTCCCGGGAATTTAGCTATTATTACTATTGCCTTTCCAAAGACTGGAACCATAAGAAGTCACTTCATTATAGTCTCATCTTAGCTCACTTCTGCCATGCTTGGCTTCAATCACTTCCAGAGACCACCTTCCTGATTTCCAAGTTTCCACTACCATTTGTCTAGAAGGGAAGTGCTTATGTCCTTTATTGTCATAATTCCTAAACTTCCATTGTTTTTACAACTACAAATCTTCTCCCATCTGACTTGGTGAATTTTAGATGCTTCCCGCCCATTTGCAAAAAAAAAAAAAGGAAATCTCACATTTGCTTTTCAATGCACTAAGTTACCTTGGAAGGAGGCCCTTTGGGCTTTGACAAATATTTAGCTTTCCATTCTGAAAGTCTCTTATCTATGGTTTCTAATATAGGGGCCCAAATGGAACTGAAGGTGCAGTCAGCAGTTTGGTCCAAGTGGGTACCATGATATTTTGAGGGAAGCTTTCCAGTTTTGCAGCCCAGAATTCCAGAGAATTCATGGAAACTTACACCCTGACCCACCATGATGATTCATTTCTATACAAGTTTATCTTCAGTCCCAAAACCATCTCAACGTTTCCACTTGCTCTTTGTAATTGTTGTACAGAAATAAGGTATCATTTGCAAACCGTAAAAGAGCTATCTCCCCCCTTCCTATCAGTTTTAAAACCCTGTAGCAAATTGCGAACCATTGCCTTTTGCATCGTCAAACACAAGGCTTCTGTAAACACGAAAGGTGAGCGGCATTCCCCTTGCCTCAAACCCCTCAAACTCACAAAAGAACCATGTGAACTGCCATTGATTAAAATAGAAAATAAGGGAGCAGTAATGCAGATTTTCACCCAATTCTTCCAGAAATTCCAATTTACATGTTTGTACTTTTTCTCCATGTCCACTTTGTAAAGAATGCCTGCTTCTGCACTCCTTAATCTTGTGTAAATCATCAGCTCATTGGCAACTAGCACCATCAAGAATTTGCCAACTACCAAAACCTTTGAGAGAATCTTGTATACACTTGCAATAAGATTTGATCATTGTGATTGGGAAAAGCTAAATAAATGGTAACTTGCCAAAAGGACATGGCTATACATACAGAACCCAAATGAAAATGTACTTTGATATTGGGACAAGCTACAGAAGCATTGCTTAAAGAGTTAAGGTATGGCCATTCTGATCAATGTGCCTTTTTTTCTCTGGTTTGAATGTCACCATTGCATTTGATGATTGATACCATGCTGTTCCATGGTTTTAAAAGTAAAATCATTGAATTCGAATTGTGTTCTATTTATAATTACTGAATTACTCTTGCAAATCGAGCCTGTAATGAAAAACTGCGCTTAGAAAAGTAATCATATGTACTTTTTCTACTCTTTTAATTAGTATTTTATTTTAACCACGTTAGAAGGAAACTTGCACTTGAGAGTCATCCTCTAATTGTTAATAATTCTATCGTCTACAGGAACTTGAGAAGAAGAGAAAGGAGAGGGCCCAGGTAGCATATGAGAGGAGGAAGCAACTGACCAAACTGAGGGTCAAAGCTGAGAAGGCTGCGGAGGAACAGCTGGGTTCCCAGTTAGACATCCTGTCTCCTGTTAAATACTGATGAGTGAATTGGAATTTGAGTACCGTCTTGTTTTCCTYAAGTCTCAATGTCTCGTGCATTTTGCAGTAATTATAAAATTAGTTTTGCTGTTGCATTTTGTTTTTAGTAGAGAACTATGCTCTACTATTTTAGTTATCAGTTTTGACACTCTTGAAAGGTTGTTTTGAAAACTACATGTGGCAATATTTGAATTGGGTTGAGATTTGAGAACTGGTTTTTCCATTGGATGCAATCGTCATAACCACGAAGAAGGAACTAGGGGGATCTCATATGACGGGGAAATGGAATTTGGGCTTGGCTTTGAGGTATCCAAATCTTGGCAAGCAAAAAAAGAAATCGTATCGTGAATGTTGAACGGTTGATGGTCTCTTTTTTGTATTTTTCATTCAATTTGATATTAAAGCTCAGTTTGGAACAGTATAAATACAAATATGTACAGTAAAAATACATACATATTTGTATTTGTACTCCTTCCAATCCTAACCTAACAAATATTGGAATCATGTATCCGAATTTGGATGCTAATAAAAAGGTATATATTTTTATTGGGATTCATGTTTGCATCTATTACAGTTAAAAGTCTGTTTGGTAAGAAGGTAAATTTGTCTATGAACCCAATTTTGCATTTAAATAGACCGTTTTACATTCTGCATATTTGCATTCACACTTTATTTGCATCATTTTGAAATGGAGCCTAAGTTGAAATTTCCTTTGGTTGGTCGGGGTGTATATTTTCTTATCTAAAAGGGTTCGACTATCATACGGGAAAGACATGATACTAGGGGCTTGTCGGTCTTGATAATCTTTGTTTTTTTTTGCTGTTAATTAGTTAAAAAACCTAATTTTTTTGATACAAAGACCAAAGTTGATGAGGCTACTCAATGATGTACAGTGAGGACTCAGGACATCAGGAGCGTTCCCAGGCTCCCAGCAGAATGTTAATGTAAGGTAAGGTTCCATGTCCATGGGCTGGAGAGTCACTTAGAAGTTGGGAGGGGCCAACCATGACAACCAGGGACAGAAAGGAGAACACCACCGGCCCAAGAGTCTCTTTCTTGTCACTGGAAGCTTTGATTATGAAAGTGATTGATAAGGTAATAATATTTATTTCTACCTGCTTGACAGTTCTCAGATTGTTTCAAGGAGGACAAGATAAGACCCTTACATGGCACATCGGGTGTTTGAAAGATTTTTTTGTCACACTCAACGCCTTTTTAAGTATGCGGTACTAGCTTGCTAATAAAGTCTTAATGTGTCTCATGCAAAAACTTATCCTATCAATCCTAATCCTACTCGGGAGACTTCTCAGATTGTATCAAGGAGGACAAGCTTGACCCACTATCCAGTGCAGATCAGGTGTTTGAAATGTTTTCTGTTACACTCAATGCCTTGTAATTATAAGTATGCCATACTAGCTTGCTAATAAAGTCTTCTTGCGTCTCATGCAAAACTTCCTTTTAATAAAACTTTCTGTACTCCACCGCCCAAATGCATGCACCAAAAGCACACACTTGCAATCATGCCTCAAGCCAATTACATAGACCAAGCAGACGTCAATGGTGGGTTTCACTTTTATCTTCTAAAAATGGGCAAGGTATACTAGTTAGCATGTTATGGGCCCCTGATAACTTTTCAGATGCTGTAGCCTGTAGCCCCAGAGGCAAAGAAAGATTGTTTCTTTCATTCCATGCGTCTCAAGTCATACCAAACCCACCCAAGTGGGAATGTTTGCCCAGGCTTCCTTAAATCTTAAGTTCTATTTATTGCTGTACTGCTTTGGATAAGATGGGAGCGTCATTTTGCCATTATTCCATAATTCGATAAAGGTGGTGGTGGCTTTTTTCCATTCAGGAAAAATGACGAGACCCAAAAATAAAACTTTCATCACACCATTCCAGATTCCAGACCTAAAAGTTTGTGCAATGTCATTTATAAATTTTATAGCAAAAATTTTAATAAGTCAACTAAATCCAATTTTAAATAAATTAGTATCACCCGTTAATTGGCTTTTGTACTAGAGAGACAAATCATAGCTCACGAAATATTTCATACAATGAAAAACAAAAAGGGCAAAACAATCCTAGTGGCATTCAAAATAGGCATGAAAATGGCATATGGCAGAATAGAATGGCAATATATTAGGAAAACTCTAGAAAAAATGGGTCTCAATCAGAAAATGAATTGGATGGGACATTAAATCCCCCGGTGAACCCTTCAATCCATCTAGAGGCCTTAGGCAAGGGGATCCATTGTCGCCCTATATTTTTGTCTTGTGTACTGAGGCACTTATTCGGCACATCGAGAACAATACTGAAAATAAAAAAAAAAGGATCTGGGGGTCAAAGTGGCTAGAGGTGCCCCTACTATTCCATTCCAATACTTCAATTTGCATATATGACCATTTGATATTCTCTGAGGCATCAATTTAAGTCGTCTCGAAGGTCAAGTATATTATAAAGAGATATGCCAAAGCTTTAGGGCAAAAACCAAACATTAACAGATCCTCCATATACTTCTCAAAAAACCTCCCTAATAGACTTCAAAAAAATTTTTGCCAAAATAGTAGAAATCCCAAGAAGCAAAAAGGGAGGTAAATACTTGGTGCCCCTATGAGGGAAACTTCTAAGGAAATAACTGAGAAGATGAGGGAGAAAATGGAAAGTTAGGGAAGCAAATTGTTGTCATTAGGTGGCAAGGGCCACTATGCTCAAGTTAGTTATAGCTAGTATGTTTTAGTATGAAATTAACATGTTAGAATTTCCAAAACAAACCACAAGTGAATTAGATAAGCTCTAGAAAGTATTCATCTGCTTGTTGAAATCCAATGGTAGGCTTGGGATAAGGAAAATGGAATTAATTCATTAATGAGGCCAACCTAATGAAGCTATCCTGGAAAACCTTGAAAGATAAGGATAACCTATGGGTTAACATAATAAATGAAAAATGTCTGAAAGGAAAGAAATCTCCTGAAAATTGGAACCCCAAAAAAGGCCTCTTGGGCCTGGAGGGGAATTTGCAAATAAAAAGTTAATTTAAGAAATTGCCTAATGTGGAGGATAGGAGATGGAAGAACATATAAAATTTGGAAGGATAACTGGGTTACAACTTACAAATGCCCCCATCAAAGATTTAATTAGCTTCCGTCTTGATGAAGAATCTGTAAACGAAAGAAAAGTTGAGGATCATGTATAGTGAGCGGTTGAGGTGCGACATGAACAAAGTTAGCTAGCTCAATTCCTTTCAATATAATCCAACAAAGTAGAGCTATTGAAAAACCCTCAGAAGTCAGAACGAAAGTAAGATGAACTAGTATGGGAAATTAGCAAGAAGGTTTTTAAAATTGGACCGGATAGGGAACCGTTGTGGGTCCGGTTCTCAGGTCGAACAGTCAGTTTTGGTTCGAACAGACGACCTATGCTGAAAAAAAAATAAAAAGATGGCCAAAAATTCTTATCGGTTCGACAGTTTGACCACCCGGGTCAGCGATTCACTAACCAAATCAACATTTTTGGCAAAAAAAAAAAACGGTTTTAGGATGAAACAAAACCGATCAAGTGACCATTCCCGGTTTTTCTGGTCCAACCATCCAATCTGGTTTTGGAAACACTGATTAATCAGCCTATGCAACCTTAAATAAAAAGGAAGAAAGAAGATGAATCAATCAAGAAATGTTGCAAAAAAAAAAAAAACGCAAAAGATTGAACACCCCCCAAAATAAGAATATTTCCTTGGCTGCTGGCTATAGGAAATAAAATTCCTTCAAAAGGAAACCTAAGGAGGAGAGGATTATTATGCCATCTAGAATGCCATATTTGTGGAAATCCCGAAGAGACCAACCACGTTCTCTAGCCATTCAAGTTTGGAGTTTAGTTAACGACCAACTCTTGAAGAAAAAAAAAAAAAATGCAAAGAACATAACCTAATGTGGGAGAAGGTTGCTTCTATCCTTTGGCATCTATGGAAGAATAGAAATGAAGGCATCTTCAAAAACAAATAGTATAGGCCATCGCCCTTTGGAGATCATGAAGAAAGCTTTAGAAAGTATTAGAGACCGTTTAGAAGCTCAAAATGTTAAGAAATATCAGAATGGGCCGAGACACAGCAAGGTTATATTGGTAGCCCGAATTAATAAAAGTCAGGCCTAAGTATGTGAGTAGATTTTATAGGTTCCACGACATTCCCCGTGGTTGAAACGAAGCCCATAGACTAGCGAAAGATCTAACCGAAGGAGGTCTTCAGTATCAACATATTTTCAGAGAAGTAAATCAGGCGACTGAGCGACTTACTCGTGAGGTTCTTTCTAAAGTTATTGATTTCTATTCTTGATGATTTAGTTGTTAGGCGTAGTTAAYATCATATCCCGTCCCATGGAAGTGATTTGGTGGCATGAGACCGTTTTCTTCTTATGTTCACAATGAACAACCCAACCAGAGTTCTCTCACAGAAATACAAAATCAGTTCATGCAATTCTTAAATATCTTCACCCCATTGCCCTAGGCCTGGTGGGACCCATCGAAAGATAATATTTAACTATATTTTTTATGGGTCCCACCGGCCACCATGTCTATTGTGGGACCTGGGAAGTTTCCTATAATTGCATGAAAATCCATAGACAAGAAAATTAATGGAATGATAGATTCAGATTACAGAAAATAAACCCAACCCTAAATATCCAGTCAGTCTAGAGTAGTTAGTATTAATACCAGACAGACAGCTCAGATTCACTGGACATGACAAAGTGGGTTCTCAAGTACAAACACAATACATCATCATCTTCTTCTTCTTCTTCTTTATTTCCCTCTTTCATTCCTTTACAAAATATTCACAGAGAGTCAAAATACCCAAACTCCATTACATCATATTCCATCTCCAATCAGTCTCTATCTACCTATCTAGCCAAAGTTAAGTTCTCCACTAAAATCAAAACAGAAACAGAAAACCCATTACAATTTCCTGCAAATCTATCCTGGGTTTTCACTATATTCACTCATATTCAAGAACATAATTATTAACTTTGATATCAGAGATTGATTCTAATCCAAGGATTTTCTGCAACTAAATGGGAATTTACCTGCAAATTGGGGTCAAGAACAACAGTTTTCTGATTCTGTCTCCCTCTTTGTTCAGTGGATTCCTCGATTGACCATCTCCAAATAACGATTTTCAGATTCTTGCCTCTGCAGTCGCAACTCGTCGTACCTCCTCTTGATGAACGCTTCAACTCGCCGATTCAACTCGTCGTGACTCATCAACACTTCCGTCCTCTGCGCCGCATTCCTCGACGAACTCGACCCAGACGACACCGATGACGCCGTGTCATTGAACGTCTCCGACTTCCTCAGCACCTTTCGGCTCCTCACCGTCATCGCCGTCGTCACCGACGACAGCGCCGGTTCTGGGTCGGGCTCAGGGGCACGGTGTGGTACTTCCCACGTCTCGCACTTCTTCAGTTGCCGAGCCTGCGTCTTCTTTTGTCCCTCCATGATCGCCTTCCACTTCTGATCCAGCGTTTCGTTCTCATCCTTCTTCTCGTCCGAGGCCGTCGTCACTCTTGCTGTTTTCTGGTTGGTTTCCATCGGTTTTCTCACGGAGAAATGAGCCGAAGGACCTTCGAATGGATTCGGTTTCGGCTTTGGCCTCTCGTCGGAATCCGTCAAGCTGGAGGCATCAAACCAGCTCTCCAACGACGTCTGGACGGATTTTTCAACTGAAATCACAGATTTGTCGTCGGACTCCGTAGGCATTTCGTCCACCTCATGCCAAACTACAGGCGGCATCCTCTGAAAACGAGACGACGACTCTGTACTACCTGAATTGACTCGTCTTAGCTGTAGCGATCGATTCTCTATTTCAATAACACCATCCTCGCTGTTCTTCATCTCAGTAATCTTTTGCTGGAAGTTCGACAGAACTGCAATGACGATTATGATGAAATTGAAGACGATGAAGAGATACGGAGGAGCTAACCAGCTTTGGATGGATGTCCATAGACGAGGAAGAGTAGAGAGGAAGAGATTGATGGAATACGAGATTGCGAGCATGAATAGAAGCAAAGCTGAGATGATTCCAACGGCGATGAACGTGAGTTTCACGATCTTGATGGCCGTCTGAAACCTGTTCTTAGCCGACGAGGTCTGAAATAAATAGGCCATTGCTTCCGAAAATGATATTAAAAGAGAATTTTTCGGAATGAAATCTTAGAGGTTAATGAGATTCTAAGATGAACATAACCAGAACTACATTTATGGAACCACGACAGCCATTAAAAGAGCTTCGGGATCGCAAAGAAGATGAAAGCCACGTTTCAACTAAAAGATAAGAGACTATACCCAAATGGATGAACCATGAAAGTAAGACTGCAAGAGGGACTAAAAACGCTCTTGCCTCAAAGATCAGAAAGCATTAGAAAACCAGAAGTTGTTGCTTAAAAGATCCGAAATAGCATCTAAAACAGCCGTTTTCGGAGATAAAACCCTAAAATTTCAAAACAAAACAACAGGACAGGAGCTAGAGAGATATCGTGCACAAAGAATGCTTAAAAGGAACCGGCCGGAGTTTTGAAAAGGTTTCATGTGCTGAGAGTTCTTGACTTGAAAATGCCACAGCCCAATTAGAAGAGCACATCAGAGCGTTTTCAGAGACAGCGAATCAGAGAGCCCAGAGATTTCAGATGCTTTAAGGTGAGAAAAGGGCGAGTTGCAGGGACGCCATTGTCGGAGCGTTGAAGCTTTGCTGGTTGCAGAGCCGGCACAATGTAGACGGTTCAAAAAACTGGGACGCCTTTTGTAGGGGACATACGCATAAGCCACGTTCATGTTTGCGCCGTTAGTCTCGTATATCAACCGTCCAAAGCATGGAAACTATTCGACCGATAWGCATATAGTCTTCATTGAAAGTGTAAAGTAAACCGAATCCACAGGGGCGAAATTTGGGCGGACCAACCGGAGCCCGAACCGATCGAACCCAAAATTTTACACGGTCTGAGCTTGGATTTATGGTCCTTTTAACTTAGGCTTTACGGTCCGTTTGGTTGCCAATAAGGGATGGGATGAGAAAGCTCATTTTGGCATTCTGGTGTTTGATTGCTGAGAAGGGAAACCTACTATTCATCGTCTTTCTTCGAATTCAAACTAGTGGCATGGACGAGGTGAGTTCCAATCTCCCCCTCATTAGTAAAAGAAGAATGCTCAGAAAAAAATTAACAAATAATAATATATTTATAAATATGTAGGAAAGGTTTGTCATCTTCAAAGTTGCAGAGGATACAAGGGCGAAGCAAGATCTGGAGTTGTTCTCACTACCTCCAATCTTCACTAAAAATAAAAAAAGTAAAAAGAATAATTGGCACCTGGTTTAACAAATCTGAGAGAAGAGAAACATATCTCATGGAAAAAACTGATCCGAGGGAAGAAAACTCTTACCTTGAACCTAGAAAAACACCTTGGCGCGTTTTAACAGGAAACAATGGCTTTTAGCCGACGAACGACCATGTTCGTTCAAGGTTCTACAAGCACAAGTGTAGATCTGTAAAACATCTACTTCTATACCGTCGGAAACAATGGCTTTTAGTTGACGAATGACCATGTGAAGAATATAGTCACCTTTATTCCTTTATTCTATGGTCATGGATTTGGTCTTATCTTGGTTGGATATCGTCGAGAATGCTGTTGGAGACTTGATTGCTGTAGACACAGGGAGACGGTGAGAGGACGGCTACAGTCGAAAGTCTTCACATTTTTTTCTCACAATTTTCTCTTCTCACCGGGGTTGCACCATTTCAGTGCGACCCTGCATCCTTGGTTGGTTTTGAGAACCAACACCCCACAGTTTCCCATCCCATCCCAGCGAACAAACACGTGAAAATGAGAATCTAATGGGAATATTCTCATTTTCCCATCCCAATGGCAGCAACCAAACGTACCATTAGGTAGTTCGAAGTTGACCCACCTTTTCCTAACCTGATGTACGAATCAAATTAGGTTCGATCTAATATCAGGCCTTAGGCCCAATTCTTAGGATTTGGGCCCGTATCAAGCCAGTGTCTTGTATGAATGATCGTTTATGATGTGGTCCAGACTGCATGAATCGCATATCTTATATATCTCTCTATATATATAGTAGATATCTCATATCTTATATATTTGGTATAAATCTTGTGTATATATGTTTATTTTTGGTAAAATCTTATGTATATATGTCAGTATCTTACATGTATGTATAATATTTTGCCAAATATATACATGAGGGTGCGCCTATATAGAGTATGTATGGCGTATGTATAAATTTATATATGATATATATGTATTATATATGGTATATATAATAATTTACTGAATAAATGATATGTGCATATGGTTTATACTTTTTTTTGTAATTCTGATTATAAAAAGTAAATTAAATTTTAAAATTTTAAAATATATAAATACTGTGAATCACATGGACCAGCCCGGATGTCTGACCTGACCCGTCAAGGACCGGACCTGAATATGTATTTATCAAGTCCGTGGTGCGGGCAGCCCTCAAAGTTGTTTAATGCCTTGTTAAAACTCGGGCCGGGCCCAGCCCATGATCATCCCCAATTGGGGCCAAGGTAAAGGGACCCACCCAATAAATCTTTAAAAATCAAGTGAGGCCGTGAGGGCCTTGTGTACATTAGGCTGCGTTTGTTTTCGGTGTAAATGTATTTTTACATTGATGGAGTTGAGACACGATGGTTCGGTGAGAGTGTAAAATATGGATCGTCTATTGTGTCCATTTATACTCGTCTTGTTTGGTTACATCTTGTTGCAGCAGGAGATTTATCAGAGAGGGAGGGAAAGAGAGAGAGAAGGGCGGAACCGAGGTGTAAAGATCTCCCTTCTCACAGGCTTAGAAGAGAGAAAGGGCAAAAAGACAGAGCCACTATATTAGCTCTAGAAAAATTTTCACTATGGCAGTTAGGAAGAGCTACCTCGCCAACGATTAGTTCCGATACCATGTTCGAATTCGACAAACCGACCTGTGGAATTTGAATCAGGCTGCCTCGCCTGAGTTGAAGAAATCAATGACCAATGTGTGTGATGCTGCAGCCATGGAGGGAGGTCTGTGCCGCTGCCTTTCACTTCCCTATGCCCCATCAGTCTACCAGATCCTCAAGTCCCTATGCTACCAGCAGAGGTACAACGGGAGCAAAATGCCCAGGAAGAATGAGATGCTGCAGCCATGGAGGGAGAGAGAAATAATGGGGTTGCACCCAAATAGAGATTGCTACCTAGAAGCAGAGAACGCCCATCTGAATTGGCCTCTAAGTTCCCCCAATCAAACCCCGCCGGAGGTGGTGGTGGTGAAGGAGAACACCCAAGTAGAGAACGACCATCTGAATCGGCCTCCAAGTTCTCCCAATCAAACCCAAATAGAAAACGCCCATCTAGATTTGCTCCAATGCCGCAAATAGACAATACSTACTGTTAAGAAAGAGATATAATAAATACATCGAAATTACATCAATTATTAATGTAATTAAACGATAAACATATAAAAATTTACCCCGATTCGATTTTACACCTCTACTAAACGCAGCCTTCGGGACCCGGACCACCAGATTGACATTTTTTTTTGAAGGCTTACCACCTGCAGATTGACATGAGCATGCGATCATGGCCATCCACTTGATCCTTGATAATCTGTAAGGAAGGTATAATAGTCATTTGAAATTTGTATTTTCGTATATTAACGTGATCGTAAGTCGGCAACCAATTATCTGGGAGATAATATTGATACAGCGAGGAACTAGGAATTTAGGAAAGACGTCACTGTTTTCAACTTTTTGTTTTCTTTTATAGGAAAATTTATGCTGCCGGAAAGACATGATACCGTGAACACCTGATCGGTTATACCTTTTACGATACCGGTTAATTGGTTACAAGTTTGTCTTTCTCGTCGATTTTTTATTTAAAAAAGGTAAAAGACTAACATATCTTGAATTTGTATAAATTGACTTCCAATATATCTTTTTTAAAAATTCAATTTTACCCTTTAAAAATAAAAGACTTTTAAAACAATATATTGTGTTTCTCCAACTACAACAGTTTTCACGATTAGACCTATTTATGGGCCGGGCTAGGCTTTTACTCTGYATTAACAGATTTTTTTAAGGCCCGAATCCAAGCTTAGCCCAACCATTGGGCCTATAACTTGGGCCCGAAGACCAGGCCTGGGCCTGAGCCCGAAGTATATAGCTCATGCCGCTACTGAATAGAGAGAGAGAGAAATTATAAAGAAAAAATAAAAAAATGTATTATATATTTTATATTATATAAATGAGTTGGGCTGGACTGGCTCAGGCCAGGCTTTTTTGACAAATTCCAAGCCCGGCCCAACACAAAATCGGGCTTGGTGTTTTGAGCCCGAGGTCAGGTCCGCAGGCCTAATTACATGTCCAAGCCCGACCGGGGTGCGGGTTGGGCCGTTGGGCTACTCGGCCCATGAACAGGTCTATTCACAATATATAGCATATAGGAATAAAGGTATACCTCTTCTTAAATCTGAGATGCAGATGCGGGTAACTGGTTCAAGACAATGTTTTCAAAACCAGATCGGATTGGACGATCGGACTAGAATAACTAGGAACTAGTTACCTGACTGGTTCCGTTTTATTCCATAACCGCTATTTAGCCAAAAACCATTGATTTGGTCAACAAATTGCTGACTTGGGCGGTCAAACTATCGAATCATTCGACCCAAGAACAATTTTAACTGTTTTTGGGGTTTTTTTAAATTTAATTTTTTTTTTGCCAAAACAGACCATCCATTCGGACCGAACAATCGAACCTTTCAACCTGGAAACCGGACCCAAAATGATTCCCTGTCCGGCGCTATTTTAAAAACTGTGGTTCAAGATGTAGAGACTAGAGCTTTCTATCAAGCTTGTATAAATCAAACCTCATTGTTTTAGAGGGACAAACATACACAACTGAATCAAGTGGGGCCAGTGGTTGATCTATGGGTAGCAGAAGAACAAATAAGTGAATAACATTAGATGGATTTGAATTAAAATAGGGGGCTAGTGGATGAATAGCGTAATAGAGGGGAGGCAGTTTAAAATAAGAGATAGGTGGTTGAGGGTAATAGCAAAATGCAATTTGGTGATTGTGGCAAATTGAGGTTGAAGGAACAAACACAAGAGAAGAAAGAAGGGGGAAGAGGAGAGAGAGA